GGTGGGGTGGGGCAGGGGTCATGAAAAGCCACGGACTGAAGCCGTTTATTACCGTAGAGGCCGGCGGCAATCTGGTCGTCTGTCAGGTTCACGGGGCACAGGCTGCTCTCCGGAGGGACGAAGTCACCCTGGCCATCACCATTAGGCATCCCTTCTGTGGCCTCCGTCTCCACCCCTGCCTCCTCCAGCAGGGGGGCCTGGCTCCTTGGCCCCGGGGGTCGGGCTCCAACCTCCAGGTTGCTTTCTGTCAGAAGGACAGAGGCGTTAGCAGGGTGGGGCTCCGACCCTCAGCACCCTCACGGGCCAGGGCAGGGGTCTCGAAGGCCACTAGCAGGCGGCCCGTCTGGAGTGCTAGGACGAGCCAAGCCAGCTGCCGGGTTCCTCAGAAGATTCCAGCAAATGCACCGCTTGCCCGAGGGTCCCCTCCCCAGCTGCAGCAGGACTGCCAGACCCACAAGGCCTGCCTGGGCGCTCAGCTGGTTCCCGTGGGGCCACGGTCTGCCAGATGCTGCCACCTCTCACCAAACCAAGACCCACCATCGAGTCGATACCGACTCACGGCGACCCTGCAGGACAGGGTCGAACTGCCCCGTGGGTTTCAGAGGCTGTGACTGGACGGGAGTTGAAAGCCTGGACTTGGGCTGGTGGTCTCAAACTACTGATCTTGTGGACCGCAGCCCAGCATGAAGCCCCTACACTACCAGGCTCCAAGACCTCTTACAGCTGCTGAAATCGCACAGAGGAGCCGGAGACCATGCAGAGTGCCCCTGGGTGTACCCCAGCAGAATTGTACCCCGGAGCACCCCCCCCCAGTGCCATGGGCTACTCGCCGGGCTTCTACCCACAAGGTCAGTGGTTCAGAGCCACCAGCCACTCCTCGGGAGAGAGAGGAGGCTGTGTGCTCGCATAAAGATCCTGCCCTTTGACTGGAACGCACCTGTTGACCATCTTGTGAGGAGTGGGTTTTCCTTCAGAAATTAACATGCCCCAGTGGGGCGGGGGCCAGATTCTAATCACACACCCTCCCAAGGCCTGGCCCAGAAGAGCGGGCCTGGACACTCGCAGTCCCCATAAGAAAACAAGCTCAAGCATCTGCAGTAAGGCTGACCCCGACACGCTGCACCCCGACATGTGGTCTTTTGGAAGATAAGCACCAGGCCTTTCCTCCGAGCCACTTGGTACACGTGAACCTCTGCCTCTGGTCACACAGCATGTGGACCATCTGGGGTCCAAACAGGTCAGTACACTAGCCAAGGAGCTGATTCCGCCCCCCTGGGACACTGCGGGACAGCCCCCTCGGGCCCCCTGGGGGGGTCTGTACCGAAGCAGGTTGGCAGGTCTTTATGGTAGAGTGGCCAGTGGGTTTGAACCACTGGCCTCTCAGATAGAAGCAGAGTTCTTACCCTGTGCACCACACGGCTCACTGTACTAACTACACTCCCTGCCCTGACTCGAGTGACCCCACAGGAGGGAGCAGAGCTGGCCGGTGGGTGTACCACACCAAACTGTCCTCCTAGTAGTCAGGCGGAGAGCCCAATACAAGGGGCCAGTACCGCCCAACCCTGCACAGTCCCCGTGATGGGCTGGACCGCGGCCATCCACCCAGGGGGCTTTCAATTCCTGAGCTCCGAAAAGCAGCTCCCCACGCCTCTCTTCCAGTCCACCTGAGTCTGGAAGCTCCGCTGACCCAGGTCAACATTGCAGCCGCGAGCGCCCTACCCGACAGATGGGAGGGGTCTGTGCATGCGGAGTGGTGGCTGGGATTCGAACCGGGTCTCCCCAGAGCAGGGTGAGAATCCGACCCCCAGCCACTCCTGAGCATGTCCACACATTCAGGGGCACTGTGCGTCCTGCGTGTCTTAGCGGATGAGCTAGGTGGACACTTGTTGGGGTGAGAGATGCCAGACTCACGGGAATAGTCAGACAGACACACTGTCCCTCCCCGACAGTCACGTCAGGAGACACACAGAACCCTCGGCTGGGAGGTGGGAGGAAAGAGTTCCGGAATGGATGAGCCCGAGGAGGGCACCTGGGCCCTCGACTCCCACCTGGCATCCCGGCCTGCAGCAGCGGATGAAGAGATGCCAACAGATTCCACTGTGGCCTGCGCGCCACTTTTAATCCTGGCCACTCTCAGATGACCCCACTGCACGCCCACTGGGCGCCTGGGATTCTGGAAGGCCCAAACCCACACACCAGCTGCCAGGAGCGCCAGTCTCTCGTCCCTATGTCAATGCCCTGCACTCCACCTCCCTGTTCCCACTCCCACCGCCTCCCCAAGTTGCTAAAAACTACTAGGAATTCAGAGTTGAAAGGGGAACCCTCAGGAGACAGAAAACAATCTATTTTGGTCTCGTGCGTCCCCACCCACGAGCTTCAGAGAGAACAGAGGCTTGGGTGTGTGGGGAACGGACCTCGGAGGCTTGTTTCAGCCCATCCTGCCCAGTTTAGGACCACTGGACTCAGTGCAAATGGTTTCTATGAGCCTGGGTAGTG